ACTAGCTATATCCCTGTTGGATAAGGAAAAAAGAAACTTCTTCAAATCAGTTATATTTGGAAGAGGGGTGTGTATTTTATATATATATATGGATAGGCACCTGGGTGGCTCTGTGGTTGAGTATCCCCAACTCTTGATTTTGGCTCAGGTCATGATCTCAGGGTCATAAGATCCAGCCCTGAATTGGGTTCCACAGGCAGTCTGCGTGAGATTCCTTCCCTCTGCCCCTCCCCCAGTTTGCATGCTCTCTCTCCCTCTCTCAAATTAAAAAAAAGAGAAATGCAAATTCTTGGGTCCACCCTAGACCCACAGAATGGAGGGAGGGGAACTCCAAAAGCAAGTACATGTACATGTATAAAATGTATATTTTGTTCTTTAATAAGCCCTCCAGGTGATTCTGATGCTCCTAAAGTTTGAGAACCACAGCGTCAGGGGGTGGTGAAGTAGGCCAGTAAGCCAAATCTCACTTACCATGTTTCTGTACAGCCTGCAGGCTAAGAATACTTTTATATTTTTAAATGACAAAAAAAAAAGAGTATTATGTAAAAGGTGAAAATCAAATAAAATTCAAATTTCAGTGTCTATCAATCAAGTTTTATTAGAACATGGCCATAATGTCACTTGTTTCCATACTATGACTGCTTTTGCACCACAACACCACAGCAGAGGTGAAGTAGGTAGTTCTGACAAGCCCACCTATAAGTGGACCCGGAATATTTGCCATGAGGCCTAGTTATGGCTAGATTATCAACCAACAGTCTATTCTTAGTTACTGGTTACCTTGAGTATGAACAATATAGTAAAAGGGCTTAATTTATACGGTTTTAGTATTATATAAAACCACATAATTTAATTTCTTTAAAAAAGGATAATAAATGACACTACTTACTTGCCATCCTTAAAATAGGTTTTCAGAGTATCACTGAAGCTTTTGGAGTACTTTACAAATTCTTTCTTTTGGTGTTCAAGTGCCTACAGACATCAAACAGAGTAAGAAAAAAATATTAAATAAGAAAAGACAAATAACACAAAAGCCAAAATCAAAGATAAGAGATTATACAGAATACAGGATAGACTTTATATATTATGAATTGGAATTTTTAGAAGTATTTACTTAAACATATTTTAATTCAAGGACAAAACCAGTGGTTAATGATACAAAACAATTTTCAATAATCAAACCATCTTAGTATTTAATTCAATAAAACAACTAAGTGTAAATCAACATCTAGGGTGGCAGCTTATACAAGGCTTCTACTAAACTTACCCTGCGGTTCTGGTATTGATACTTCTTGAAGACATTATTCACTGTATCAAGAAGTTCTTTTATTGCACTAGCTATATCCCTGTTGGATAAGGAAAAAAGAAACTTCTTCAAATCAGTTATATTTGGAAGAGGGGTGTGTATTTTATATATATATATGGATATGGATATATATATACATATATATATATATATTTTAAGGATTACTAATCACACTGTAATTACCACATTAACACTGCATCAAGCCCAAACATCTGACTTGATGATTGGATGGATTTTAGCCTGTACCCTTTTGTGATCCTGACTTCCCTTGCATTGCTGACCAAACGTTCTATAACTAATTTCAATCTTCCCAAATCAGTAATATTTCATTCAGCACTACTTACTCAAATTTATAAGAATTACCTCTGCTTCACATCTTTTCCAGTTATGATTCTTCCTTTCTTTGATGAGAAAGGAAAGCTACTATATTCTCTACGTTTGCTATCTCAGGAACAATTACGTAAAATTTTACTATTACGTGTACCACACTTCTGTATTTATCAGCACTTCAAGTTACATACCTAATAGTTTTGATGTTTAAAATGAAATATATTTCCTTCTCAGACATAGCTCTTCTCTCTAAGACACATCTACCTTCTAACAACTGCCTATACCCTTCTTCCAAAAACTTTGCTGTCATTATTTCCTTTGGAAAATATATTTAAATTCCTGAGAGAGGGACAAAATATCAGAATATTTTGCTACCTTAACCTTTCAGCAATCATCCTTGGACTATATATGCATCAACACCTTCCTCCCCTTTTAGGTAGATAAAGAGAAGAAATCAATAATTCTCATGAGTTGACTGTTCTTCCTACCCATTAACCATTTTTTTTCCTAAACTTTTGTCTTTTCTATGCTTTTTTCAATTTTCATCTTCTAACTGCATAACTTTTTTGCCAAACTGAACTTAAACTTCTGCTGTGCAAATGCAATGCAAGTGTGAAGATATGAATTATTAAGACATAACTCTAGACCATCCCAAACATCTTTCATTACTTTTTAATCACAAATATCAGATTTTAGTTTTTTCATACCTAAAACATTTCAGCTTTACTAAAGAAAAAAAACTCAAAAAGCTCTGTATCCAGATTTCTGTGGTATATGTATGTGTATCACAGCATTTTTCTAGTAAATAAGCATGTAGGATGTCTAAGAATTACAAATATACAGTATTTGGGTACAAAAAAAGTACGTTAGCCTATTCTGAAATAGCAGTGACATTTGTATTAAATATTTTGATAAATAATCACTTATTACCTCCTGTATGTCAAAGACTGGTATCGGGCTGAACATTAAAATACTAGATTCAAATAGGACAATGAATGTTACATGGAAATGGTATCTGTCCACTCATTTTTTTTTTTCTTTTTGCCTCTAGTTTAGGAACAGCAGTTTTAACTTACATAACTGTTCCTTTCATTTATGGTTTCAAGTAAGTTGACTCCTGTATTGCTCTGGTGTGTGTAAACCACTGCTTAATAAAATGATGTCATATGACCATGACATGAGAAAAATTACAAATTTCAACAAATAAATATTTGGAAGGTACTTCAAATCCACAATGAGCCCATTTAAAGCAGAACATAATGAAGCAAACTACAGTGATCAAACACTGAGGTGTTTATACACAACTACTTTGTAGAATACTTTAATATTCTGCTTTAAAAAGGGGGATTATAAAAATGTGCTTTCAGGGCTAATCGACAAGATGAACATATGCCCCATATACAATGATAATGGCTAGATTCCATAGGTCAAACGAGCAGTGAGTTCTCACTCACCTGTAAGGAAAAAAAAAGGGGGTTTTCTGAAAGGTTGACCACAGACTTACTAATGAATATTGGGAATCTGTACTTTAAAAGAAAACTTAAAAAATAAGCCCCCCAGGTGATTCTGCTGATGAACCAAATTTGGAAACGCGTGTTTGGAAACCTAGAGCCTAGAACTAGGGTTTGATCTATCACTGGCCACAGAACTTTAGAAAAAACTCTATAGAATAATGACCCAGGCTGTTTATCCCTAGGCCTGGCCTTCTCTAAAAACAATTTGTGGCAATTTATATCAAATATTATATCATCTGTATGTACACAGAACGGTATTTTCATTTAAGGTGCTAGGGCTTGCACCAGGGAAGCTAAATTATATTAGTAACTAAGGGTTTGTTTCCTATAAGAGAAAATAATCAGCACTAAAAAAATACTTCAATTAAACAGATCAAGAATTGAAGAAAATAACTACAGTGTAATTACAAACAGTCTGGAGTTAAGTGATTCTGTGACAAGGGACATATAGTAGGACAGAATTTTAGCAATTTGCAGCTTTTAGTGAGGCAACTTTGGGGAAACATACACTCAAAAAAGAAGAGGACAGGCATCAGAGGAAATATAACATACATCTTATAAGAAAATTGCAATGGTAGACTTTCTAATCATGTAACTCAAATTTATGTAACATATTTATGTGAACATTCTAAAGGAAGAAAACTCCTATGCTGTGTGTTTAGTTAGGTCTAGAGTGGACATCTCTGGAAAAGCTACTCTGAAGCCATGAGGAAAACCAAACTCTGGTGAATTTTAGCGCATGAATACACAAATACACAGTAAATAGATAAATGCACGGCTTTCTGGTTTATTAAGTCACAAATCTCTACTAGTCATCCATTAGAATGTATCAGACCTAAAAAAGCCCTATGAATTAAATTTACTAAATATTTGCATAAGCTTAAATGTAGTCAAATAGAAACATTCATTAATCAAAAGAACTTTTAAGGTATTTATTTGCTGGATCATTTTTCCTAATCAACCCCACAGAGAAAAGCAGAGGGGAAAAAAAACCCTTATTTCACAAAGCTAGTATGTGCTCTGAGCACATACTGGGTTCTGTGTGAGGCACTTTATGTATGTTTATGTATGTTCTTTCTCTCAATTCTTAAAACTGTTGCCCTCATCTTTATAGACAGAAACTAGAATAACAGAAGCTAAGCTACTTATCCAAGGAATGTGGGAATGGATTATAGCTAAATGTGGGAATGGAAATTCAAACCTAGGTCTGCTAACATACACACAAATACCTGGATATTTGTTAGCTGATGGGAATCTTCTTTCTACTTAATATAACCTATGAAATCACATAGAGTACTTGGATAGTAAGTATCTGATACATGTTTCTTGAAAATACTGCTAAAATAAATGAAGAAGATAACTACCTTAAGTATGAAAAAGTAAAATATTTTAAAGAAAAAACAGTAACTGCACAGTACACTGCACCTGAAGGATAAGCCATTTTTTATTTTGGTGCAATTTTATCCACTAATTTGTTAAACAATTAACCATGGAGACAATATGTATCAAAATGTGTCAGTATATATCTGTGATACAAATAATCACACCTTACCTATCTATGTTAATTTATATATGGTCTCATAAATATATATTATCAACAAACTTTCCAGGGCCAATTATACCTCATAAAATGGTTAAGAAATAAATTTTAATTGCCAATACTCTTAATTCAGTTGTGCACAGTACACTCCAGAAAACAGGACTAAAATATTACTGCTGCCCCATAAATGAGAGACAAGCCCTTAATTCAGCCTCTGTCAATGACTATGGACAATGACTCTTAGGTTCCTGACCTCAACTTCCTTATGATTAAAATGTGGCTGTTTATACAGTGTTTTCAAACCTATCTCTCTAAAGCCACAATGGGTTTAGCAGAGACGCCTTGCAGACTCCCTCAGAGGAGTAAGATGGTGTCAAAGTAGCAGGACGAGGACTCTGGGCCTACCATACCTACCCCAGCTTCAACCACAACATTCTTCTCTCTCTTACCTACTGGCATTCTATATTAAGATATCCTTTATCACACCTCTTCCAGATAGCTAAAACTTTTTTCAATGACCAAGTTAGAACAGCATTATTCATCTCAGATTGGGAAGCAGCAGAGAGGACAATGGACTGCATCTGCCTGGGTTCGAACCCAGATCTACCAATTTACCAGCTCTGTGATCTTGGAAAAGTTACTTAATTTCTTCACCTGTTATAGCAGTGTTATAATAAGTTAATATATGTAAAATGCTTAAAAAAGCACTGAGAACGTAATTCTAATAAGTGACTACTATTATTAAGATGGCACTGATTCAATAAACCTCTCCTTCAATGACCCAAGGCAAAATTTGCTGAAAATATTATTTTTAAAATGTCAGATCTTCACAGAAATGCAGCATAGATCATAAACAAATATATGATTATCAAAACAAATTAAAATTTTATTAAAGTATTTGAAAATTCTAAAAATAAGCTGCTTAAACAACTGTGCTTCACGTAACTGGCAATTTATCCTTTTATGAGCTAAACAAGTTTACTTTATATTAGATTAAAAATAAAAAACCATGAAACAGTTGACTATCTTCCTTTTTCACACATTAAAAATACTTAAAGGAAGTTGAGGCTTTCCTATAAAGGTAAAATATTTACCTCAGGATTTGTTCCCTGTGACATGAATTTTAGCTAGGCAATGAAAAATCTTTTTCGTACTTTCAGGTTCTCAATTAGAAGACCTAAAAGAGGGTCACTCCTTAATAGCTGGGTTGCGTACCCATCATAAACCAGTACTTTCTAAAATGGGATACCCTGCCCTCTATACTACTCAAAATAGGTGCCCAAACTAGCTAAAATAACATTTTGCAATGGGAATTACAAAAAATACTGTTTCCAAGAGATGAATGTTAATATTTACAAGCGAACCTCTTTCCATTCTTTAAAGATATGAAGTATGACGATGCAGCCTCTTTCAGAAAACAACAAAACCTGTGCTAAATCTTTCCTTTTCAGCAATTTCTACTTGTGGTTTCACCAAAAGGTTTCATTGATAGTGCAGCTCTAATTATTCCCAATTTTCTTCATAGTATATCCAGTGAGGCTGAAGAAAATTGAGACTCTTTACTCATCCAGAAATTATGTTTGGATTTTCCCCTGATTCTCCCACCCTCTTAACCCCTGAGGAGAGTGCCCCTGGTTTGAGAGCCACTGCTCACGGACGACCCGTCTTGCTGCTGCTCACCAGTCAGCCTTCTAGCCCCTTGCATAATATCGGTCTTATTTAACCTGTATCCCAAAGGTAAGGATTTGGAGGTTTACAATTTGGCCAATATTTAAAAATGCTATTCAAGCCTAAGAGTACATTACTTATTCTAATAACTTCTATCCTTTCTGCAACAAAAACAATACTGGTATCCTTTGTTACCAATACTATAATTTATCCAACCTCCCTATTTACTTTAATCTGACATTTACATTTTTGCATTATTTTTTGTAGTTCTAACTACATTTCAACTTATGTACATTTCATTCACTGTTTTTATATGAACATTCTAAAAAATTTTATCATACTCTAAAGCCAAATACCACAGCTTAGGAGTTAATAATCAAAATGCAGCATTTAAAAATTTCAAGTCTGATTTCAAATTAATATTTCAATTTAATATTAATGTCATACCAAAATAAAACACCTAGAATGAGTGGTTCCTTTGAAGTACTTTCAAGAAAAGAAGAACCAAAGCCAAAAGTTGCTTACTTGATTGTCTGCAGAAACCTCACTCTGTCATTGATCTCATCTGGGATCTTACTGAGAATTTGCTTAAGTGCTCGTGCCTTTTCATTTAGGTCCTGGAATTCTGGCTCTGGTCGTTCAATCATATACTCTGATAAAATAAATACATAATAAAAACCATCATGCAACTCTCTGCCAAATTCAAGTCTATGAATTCCCAATGTTGGTTAAAGAAGTGGAGGGAGAAGAGAAAGGGAAAGGAAAGGAAAGACAAGGTTGCAAGGCAGAATTCATTAAAGTTCAACTTAGTTCAGAAATAATATTATGGCTCTCCCCAAGTAAAAGATCAAAAGATGAAAGACTAAACATTTTCAATTTGGGATAAATGGAAATTCGGTGAAATCTTAAAACAAACAAACAAATAAAAGATAGGCTCAATCAAATTTACCAGGCCTCTGAAGCTTTATTTCATAAGGAAACCTTAAGGTAATGACATTCATAACAAATATAATGACAATATATATCTGTCAAGGGGGAAGAGGAGCTTAATAACCAACCTCTATATTGAATATGTAATGAGCTCATAATATCAAAACCCAACCTACTAATATCTTCAGCACATTCTTGAAATCTCACTTAAAAACACATAATAATTTATACAGATGTTTGCCCCATTATCATCACAATAACAATAACAGTAAGAAAGGAGAGGGGCAGAAGACCCATTTGTCAAATAAGACTTGGAGGAAGTACTTTTCTTTTTTTTTTTTTTTAAAGATTTTTTATTTATTATTTATTTGAGAGAGAGAATGAGAGATAGAGAGCACGAGAGGGAAGAGGGTCAGAGGGAGAAGCAGACTCCCCGCTGAGCAGGGAGCCCGATGCGGAACTCGATCCCGGGACTCCAGGACCATGACCTGAGCCGAAGGCAGTCGTTAACCAACTGAGCCACCCAGGCGCCCCTGGAGGAAGTACTTTTCAACAACTGTAAGAAAATTAAATAAGACTCTGACTACCTTCTACATCATCAGCTGCCATTCGAAGAAGGGACTCTGTGAAGTTAACTTCTACACTTTTTTTCTCTAAAATTTTCATAATGATGTCTTGTGTAAGTCCTGGATTTTCTTTTTCAGCCTATAAAAAAGAGAAAGCTATTTTTAAAATACAGAAGCTCAATCAGCATTTTAAAGTCAAAAATTAATTGTTTAGAACCTGCCGGGAACTTCTTAGAGTAATCAAATTATGACAGCAGAAATCTTTGTAAAGTAGGTGTGGTGATGGCATTCAGTTATGTTTTGTCAGAGCTTATGCATTGGTGACTTCTTATTACAGCCATGGTCCCATTTGCCATTTGAACATAAAGTAGTTAACATTTCCTATTTCTCCTCTACATTCACTTGCAATCAAACCAGTAACAAAAATAGAAATAAAGATTCTATATATTTTAGTAATCCATCAATTACTCTGTTCAGTAGTTTAAATACACTAGGGACTTTTAGCTTTTTTCATTAGCTAATATTTCAACTTGAGGATCAAGCTATAACTCATCTTACCAGTACTTTGAAGATTCTTTGCATTTAGATGAACAGAATGTCAAGAAAAACAAAAATGAAACAAAAAGACAGGATTTCTTTTGCAGGTTTTATTTAAGCTATATAATCCTTTACTTTTCCACATCATAATTTTCATTTCCTATTTTATTTCTGTAGCAAGAATATTTCCTTTTGTAGCAAGAATATTTGTAGCAAGAATAATTTACAGAACATCATTTAATCCTTTTGCTACCTCCTGGGCTTGTTTCACTGATGAGTTTGCATTACTTCTACGTTACTTCACTCACTAGGACACTAAAATCTTCTAGCCATCTCAACACTGAACACAGAAAGTTATGAGTTTATCATAGTTAATTTTCAGATTTGGGTTTTCCCCAGTAATTCTGTCCCATTTTATTATTTTTAAAAATTTTGTATTGACACTCTAAGTTTGTTTCTTTTAGGATGCCTGCCAATTTTAATCATTATGCTGATTTCCTATCTTTTTTGCCCAATATTAAACAGCAAATAGAAACACAATTTATGATCCTAATCAGACAGCGATCTATTTGCTTCCATATGTGTCAAGCACATTTAACCTCTGCCTTTTCAATTCCATTCTGGTATCACTGCAGATCCAGTTTCTTCCTGTTCCTACTGCTCTTTCCATTATAACATCTTGTTTCTCATTAGGCTTCAAGTATCAGAAACTGAAAGGTTTTGAAATGAAATGGGAAAAGAAAATATTCACATTTATCTCAACGCTGGGATGATTTTAACTGCTGTCATGTGCTATTCAAGAAAATCATTTTGATAGATGATTAATAACAATAAAGTGTATCCTACTGAATTCCATTTCCTTTATAACCTGTTTTGATTTTTCCTTCCATGAATATATTTAAGGTAGAATCTATTTTTTAAAAACAAGGGTTACCTTTAAAGGAAAAGTTGTACAAACATGGGTTAAGATGGTATCAACATTATTAATTTGGTGACCTGCCACAAAACTACATGCACTATTTCAATAAGCCAGCATTTGATAAAGTGGTTTATCTTCTTTCTCTAAGTAGCATTAAATTACCTATATAATGCATCATCTTACGAGGCAGGGGAGTACTCTCCATGTGCTTACAGAATATGCCAGCAGAACAGTAATCTCTCTCTGATTAAGTTATAATAAACTGCCAAAATCATTAAATGCTGAAAGCCTGAAAATAAAGTTTTCAACACCAAGTTGTGTGGAGCCCCAAACTGCCAAAACCGGAGCATTATAGAAATCTTACAGAGGCCTCTAACTTTCTCAGTTCACAAGTGTTCTTAGGGCTAAGAAAATAGTGGCTATGTAGTAGTTAGGTTCAAATAACTTCGTAAGTACTCGTGTCCTAACAACTATCCTTAAAAAATACACAAATTGAAAGAAAAACATTTTATTTCATTCTTAAATAACCATGATTACTTACTGAGATGCATTCACCTGTTGGGCACTACACAATTTCTCAAATGTTGGAATTAGACTGGATCCTACAATCCTCATTTCCTATTGGGACACTGATTTTCTCGTGGTACTTACTTTTTATCACTGAAATGGCCAAAATTCCAACTTCACAAAAATATGACATCACTGCATGGAATGTAGCCCAATCTAATATGTTGAAACTGCAAACCACCTCAAGCTAGCATAGTTCACACAGTGTCAGATGTTTAGTATCACTGTGTTCCTTTAAAGTTTTAAAATAACTCATACCACTCTTCTAAGTTTGCTGTGGGGCCCCAGGGTGCCTCAGCACCTAGCTCGGGAACAATCGTCTTAGTATCTTCTGGCTGAAATCCTTAAGCTACTTACTTTTCATTTTAAAAGCCTTAAATTTACCCAATTTCTCTGACTGACAAAATAAATAGATCTGTGCTTAAATCGGAGACTTTTAACTATCTGTACCTTCAGGTTTTCTCCCAGAATTACAACCTTGAATTCTGTGGGGATCCCATTTTTATGAAGAATCCCACTGTGAGAAAAAACTATCCCCAAAGGCAGTAACATCCACCCTCATGAATCAGTGATTCTCAACAGCACAACCTATCAGAACTTTACATAGGGGAAAAGAATCAAAGAGAAGAGACATCTTAAAAGATAATATTCATTAGTATTTTATCTTGGGGAAAACAATTTTAATCCCTTTTCTCGTGATAATAAAAATATTAAACCTTGATAAATCACACTTGTGGTCAAAGAACTGGAAATATGGACATATATTTTAGGAATATTAATAGGGATATATGGGTGGGTGAGGCATTTATTTGTTTTTTGAGAATGAGAGAAAGTACGGGGGGGGGAGAAGCAGAGGGAGAGGGAGAAGCAGACTCCCCGCTGAGCAGGGAGCCCCATGCAAGGCTCGATCCCAGGACCGTGGATCATGACCTGAGCCAAAGGCAGATGCTTAACCAAATGAGCCACCCAGGCGCCCCTGGGTGAGACTTAAATTTTTCAAATAAGTTGTAGCTTTAAAAACACAAAAATCTTCCCTTCTTAATGCAAACCCTTTTAATTCCATTTGAAATTTAACAAATTAAATATGATAATAAAAATCAATCAATGCAAAACTGACTAATTTATTTTCCTCTCAAAATAACTTCCACTTTCCCCAATTAACAATCAGTGCTGTGGATAACAAAATTTATCCATATGTTAAACCAGATCTATCAAAAAGCACATACTTTAAACATACTATTTGCTTTTAAAATGTACTTTAGTATTAAAACATCAGATTATATGTAAGGATATTTGTAAGAAAAAGCTTAATGAAATTTGTTATTTTATCTCTTTTAGAAATGACACTGAGGATATCATCTACTACTTCAGACAGAGTCCTCCTTACGATGATCCACAGGAGAAATTTCTCTCTGTTCTTGCTATCAGAAAAGCTAAAAAACTGACTTTTCCTTATCAATACTATATTGTGCAATAGGTCGCCTTTCCTTCCTTTCTTTGGCCACAAAGAAAATAGCAAGTTAGTTTAAAACAGTTTCCATCATGCCTCCCTGATAACCAAATATGCCATTCCAAAGCCACTCTGAAGCTCAAAGAAAAAAGAAAAAAAAAATTGATGATATTGCTTCATTCCTTCTTTTCATTAACCCATTGATTTGTCAGAACATATTTTAATTAAGCTACTATGTATGAATACATAGGCACTGCATTTTAGAGTATTAATCACATCAAAATAGCTCTAATATAATATATACAATGTAAATTCTTGTGGTGAAGAGAGATGTCTAGTGACAGTATCTACCCCAGCAGTTAAGACTGGTATCAATAAACAATCTTTGCCATAAAAAAGAACTCAAGCTTTATGGATTTATAGTTCTAATCCAATAAAACTTAACTATAAATTTATTCTAGATTTAAACATTAAAATACTTTACCTGAAATAGAAGTTATTTTGGATATTAATGGGAGCAAACACACAATAAGTAAATAAAAATTGAAGTTTTGGGTACCCTGATACGTACTGGGAAAGGAAGGGGGATGGATAAAGTTTTACATGAAAGAATGCACCTAATATGTAGAATAGGACTGTCCAACAGAAATATAATGTAAGCAACAAATATCATTCATTGTAATTTTAAATTTTCTAGTGGCCATGTTACAAAATAAGAAATAAGTGAAATCATTTTAAGAGTACATCCAAAATATTATCATTTCAACATATAATTAATATAAAATACTTATTACTGAGTTATTTTACATTCTTTTTCTTATACTAAGTATTCAAAATCTGGTGTGTATTTTATACTTGGAGTACAACTCAATTTGAACTAGCAACATGTGACTAGTATTTATCAAACAGTGCAGGTCTAGAGACAACAAAAAAGTTCACTCTGACAGAGTGACTTGGATGTATGTTTGCAAGGTACCCTTAATCTGATCCCCACACAGGTCTTGTTTTCCCGTCAAAAATACTATTTTATAGCAATATGAAGAACATCTTTTTGAGTTATAATTTTAGAAAAATTTTTATCAAGTCATATAACAGAAAAAGAAATTCAAAAATATACTCTAAAGCTAAAGAGAAAAGACTCCAAAGAAGTCAGTTTCCAAAGCAAAAAATGACGAAAAGATGAATGCTAAGGAAAAAGCATTTGTTTCAATTCACTTTTGGGAAGTGTTTTAAGCTTTACAGCGTACGCTAAAACAGACGTGAGACAGCTGAAGAGGTTTTCACTAAAAGGAAATAAAGTGGCAATTATCACATGGTGTTCAGATTTATATACAACATACATTTTAATCATCACAATAAATTATTTGCACCTCACCTTAATGAAAGCTGCTCTCAGTGTCTGAGCTGCTGACAGGTTTACTCGTTCTAGCTGCAATATAAATTTTAAATCACTATTAATATCAATTTCCTCAGAAAAAGCACATTTCTGATATTCTATTCTACAATAATAACACTGATACATCCATCATTTGATCAACAAAAATACTTGCTATTTATTCTAAATCACCTTAATTCTTCAAATACACAGGTCATCTAAAATTTTCATTAGAAGAAATTAAAGGATGTATGAGTTCTTCATTCTTTTTATTTTTAAAAACAAAACACTCTACCTTAAAAGTAGATTTAAGATAAGCACAGAATGCAAAATAATATCAAGTTCCTATAGAAAGAATAAACATATTTACTTCAATTACTGAAAATAGGGTTCGAGATCAACTCTCAATGCTCTGTTTCAAGTATATGGCAAATGGGGTTTGCACTGAATAGAAAATGACCAACACCAAGAAAACATTTATTATTTAAGACTTTTTGTATTTATTACCTTACTCCTTTTTAATTATTTTACAATCCCTCAGCCAGGGATTAAGTTGAGGTTAGTCTATTTTATTAATTAGCAAACAGCACTGACAAAAGGTCTGATACTAAATAAAGATTGTGGATCATCTGTCCTCTATGTTATCTGGATTAAAAAAAGGTTACCTAAAATACTGAACCAAAAGTTCAATCCCAAAGCTTTTAATTTTAATATCAAATATGTGAGGTTTACAATTTTGAAAGATACATGTCCTTATTATACACTTTAGAGAATTCATTTTTCAGTGAGAAAAAAAAAATTTGATAAAAATAATGCCATTTGTTGAAGAGTTAACTGCTAGGCTTAAAACAACTACCTTCAGTTAAATTCCTATTTTTTTAGTCCCTAAAGATTGGGCCAATTAACTCAATAAAGCTCAATGTATATATTTTTTATTGGGGACAATATTAAATGTTCAAAAACAATGTTAACTTTTATAGGATTCTTATGCAAGTGGAATCTTTTTACAAAAATCTTAGGAATATATCATATCTTGCAATATTCCTTTCAATCCCTCGAGGAAATAAATGTAAGTTTTCCTTTATAAACAACATATATACATATCTAAGGAATGGCCTACACTTTATTAAATCAATTTATTTTCTAAACAAGACAGAAATGCCAAGAACCTTATCTCCCTACAAGTTACGCACCTTCAGCAAAAAAGCAACAAAATGTGCCAAGATAAACACTTTATCTCCAAAAATAAATAATAGGCCATTTAACTCAGTTTTTAACTTGGCTTCTACAAATCCAGTAAAATCTAACATCGTCTTAGTAGATAAAAGGGAAGACACAAGAGGGCAAGGTAGGCAAATAGAGCAAAAAAGCAACTATGTAAGTTTATAAAATTAATGAAAATATGCTGCCACAAATGAAAAATTTTCTTCTTCCATGGAATTCATTTAATTGTAATGAGTCCTATTTAAGATTAAAATAATAATACAGCTCTTCTGATCTCAAGTTCTTGTTGTGTAAGGAAAGGAGAGGCAGACAGACAGGATGAATGTTTCCAGTCTGATAGGAACCATTTCCTTATTTGGGTTTACACCACACTCCGACCTCTTTCAAGAAGTCAAAGGTCTGAGTCAGATGTGTACCTTCAAGTATCTGCATCATTAACTCATTCTGTACTGCCCTGGCTGGTGTGTGAAAGGGTCAAGGCAAATAAAAGAGGCCCAGAATAGTCTGTGAAGAACTAATAAAATTAGCCAAGATAGACATCAGATTTCTAGATTAAGTTTACATACATGTGTCTTAGAAAAGAAAGGGAAAGGTCAGGCATATACTAAACCAAATCTGTGAGCTGTGAAGCACCTCAACCAGAACTCTGCAGGAAGTCATTTTGGGATACGTTATATACCCACATATCTTGCAGTAAACCCACTAGGCTTCATTACTCATATGATATCCCCACTACCCAGGGAAGGACCAGGCATACAGGCACATACCTACTTTTTGAATTGAACTTAATCTCTCAACCATAAATTTATCTAAATTGTTCTTCAATCTACTTATAATTTGCAGCCTGTAATACTTAGCAAGGTATGTTTTTATCTTCCCTAATAAAAAGTGCTTCCCTTTTAGATCTTTCACTTGTGATAGATGATTTGATGATAAAATCACGTTCATCTTACCTTTCATGACAGTATAAGGTCCTGGCTGTATCCTAATAACAGTTATCATTTACTTAGCACCTATAATGAATTTTGTTATGTATTTTCATAGAGAGTATCTCATCCTCACAATCTGTAACTAGCTATCATCATCGCTATTTTACAGAGGTAGAAATTCAGTTTGCATAAATTTACCCAATATTCAAGAGCTAGTGCATACAGAGGCAGGATTCATAACAAATCTGTCTGGCTCTAAAACCTGTGCACAAGCCACTTAATGCTACCCTGCTCCCTGAATTCACCCTTCCCACACTAGCATCCACTCTCTCACTGAATCTCTTCAACTACTGAAGAACTAACAAATTCCTGAGTTTCTCCCATGTGTAAGAAAGTCAGTGTGAGAGATAAAAGAAACAGATTATAGTCCTGGAACCCCAGAAGACCAATTTAAATAAGGAGCTACATGGAAACTAATGGAATCACTGTCAGTTGAAGTAGGAAAAAAAAAAGTCTTTATGGAGGTGAAAGCTGAACTGGTCCCTGAAGAACACAGCCTCTTAAAATCACCTTCCTGAGCCATCCCAAACTTACGGCTTTCTTCAGGGGTTAGTAACACATGTGGGAGTAAAGTTTTTATGTAAGTTTAGAACAGACAAGAATTTCCATTTTGTTTCCAATACTTCCACTAATGAGTCCAGTAATTTTTTTCAGCTTTTGAGATAACAGTTGTTGGCTAGGTTATCTTTAAAGAGCCAATGCAATCATTTCTTAGTAGTAATTGATTCTGAATTCAGAGGAGGAGGAGGGAACATATGATTACACCTTGCCATTAATGGATATCTGGACAAGGAGAGGCTTTCCTCGGGCCTCAGCCATCTAAGAATTCCATGTCATCAGTAAAAGAGTAAAGGGAAAAAAGAGAATAAGCACAAGAGAACAGGGCACCTAATCTCATTTCACCAAAAAGGTAAAGAAAGTACCTCCTGAAGTCCCAGCTAGAGGGAAATAATAGGCTGGGGTGAACTTAACAGCGGGGCTCTCACCCCAACCTCAGGTTCTGCCTACTGTTTTGTGAGCTCCTCCTGTAATTTATTCTTGATAGCTTCTGAGAGCACTATTAACTGCAAACTTGTCAAATTTAACTCTCTAGAATGTTTATAAAAATATTTCAAAAGCTTACACATAATTGTGATTCCACAGAGAGTGCATTTATTGCATTGGTCCCTCCATTTATTGCACTGGTCCCTCCCTCCAAAAGTATCAGCTCATTCCTATACTTTATTTTCTAGTTATCAAGCCTGTCTCTTACACCCGTAACTATAAAAAAAAAAAAAAATCCATTTAACTCTTTGGTTACTCAAGTTTTATAGGTCTTGCATAAAATCTTTTCAAAGTATTCTTTCTTATTTTAAGGTCAAAATAATTAGGTTAGTTGGTTCTGAATTATCTACTAATTTGGCTTCCTCAAAATCAGGCATGATTTCTCCATGCTGACAACCTTCTCCCCTCCCCACAAACACTATTAATCCTATTCTTTAAAAGGAATCAAACAGGGCCAAGACACAAGAAAAAGGGGTGCCTGGGTGGCTCAGCTGGTTAAGCATCCAACTTGATTTTGGCTCAGGTCATGATCTCAGGGTCCTGGGAGGGAGCCCCTAGCAGAGCGGGGCTCCCCACTCAGCAGGGAGTCTGCTTGTCCCTCTCTCTCTGCCCTTCCCCCGCTCATGTGCGCACTCTCTTCCACTCTTTTAAATAAATAGATAAATCTTAAAAAAAAAAGACGCAAGAATAAAGGTACATCCCTTATGACTCAAATAAAAATGAGGTAAGTCAGATCAAAAAAAAAAAAAAAGAAAAGAAAAAAAGCTAGAACATAAGTAGATAGACTCAAGAGGCCACCTATCAACTTTTGTGCTGTCACAAAGAAGAGAGATGCAGTCATGTGTTTTATACATAGTAAATGTTTCTAAAATAATCCGTTTCTGGGGTTGCCAAGTTTTCCAGCAAAAAAGGTAAGCAGAGCCACCTATCACAAAAATGTTTCATTAAAAATTGTCTACTAGAATGTAAAACTCTAGGGAATGCTCACAATTTTATCAGAAAATTGCACAAACACTTCTGAATAACAGTTCTAACACTTAACTACATAACTGGTACTATTCTCAGTACTACAATATATTAAGTCATTTATTTCACAGAGTTATGAGAAATAAGTATATTACTGTTTATCATCAGTTTATAAACAAGGTAAGAAAGATAAGACTACATAGCCTAGAGTAAGGGGCAGAGCAGTAATTCTTATGCAAGATACTAACTACGATCACCTCTGGATGGTGGGACTGCAGGTAAAACCCATCCCTTCACTATGGAGAAGTATGTTTACTATGCTCCAATTTGGGGGTTTGATTTTTTTCAATTAAAAAAAAAAGGGATAGTTAGGTATGTGAAGTTGGGGAAGTATTCACAGATTTCATTTGCTTATTGGAAAAAATTAAGAGTTGCATATTCTGCTAAGTTGGCAGAAATAACTGTGTTGGATGCTTCTGAATAGAATATTAATTACTTATTCAGAAGTACCATTTTTTTGTGATTTATAAACAAGCATATAAACCCTTGGTGATCTAAAATTCTTAATTGTTTGCAAAACTGTTTATTCCTATCTCAAAACACAATACATATTTCTTCAGAAATTATACTTCACCTTAAAATAATTCCTCTAAAAAGTCATAGGAAACGATGATTCATGGTGTATCTTTTCTTGGAATGAAGAACTGAACTACACCTCTCTCCTCCTCCATACACAAAGATCAGTAGAAAGTAATACAGTAAATGAGAACCTGATCTAAGACTTGTCATGACGCTTCTATAAACTCACTATTCCATAAGGTAACCAGGAGACCTATTTCACAGTACATTTACAACACATGCAATATACTTGGACTCTGAACTCTGCAGCAGCTGATTAAATAAGAAGCCTACTCCTTTCTCAGCTGTCTTGGCATAGCTTCATTAAGTTTAGCAAACATCAAACTCCCAGAATGCCATAAATAACTTTGCTTTGTGAGCTAGAGTAACAGTACTAAAATTTCCCAGATATAAGGATGCCCTACTATCTAAAAATCTGTTCTACAAGATGACTTACAGACTACCATTGTTACTACTACGAATGTTATGTTAAGGTGAGAATGGGTAAGTTTTTTTTAACTCTTCCAATACACTGTGGACAAAATTAAGTGTATCATTTAGCTCCAGAGTTAAACATTCATCCCTACTCTGGTACTATTTTCTGTAAGATTAATTTGACAACCATTTTATCTTTAAATCCGTATAGCACAGAAAAACAGAGCCAAACTAAATTCTAACTTCCCCATTAGTAGATCTGTAGAAAAATCTATGTTTGAACTATAGTTAAATATTAATGTTTAACTGACTAGGTATCTTATTTTAGATGTTACATTAATACACTGGAAGTCAGACAACAATGCTAGTATTTTATTCTTCTCAACCACACACTTCACATTTGAAGGCACAATTATTTTATTCCATTCCTAACTCATGCCCCAGATTTCATATCTCTATCAAAAAGGAGACCTACTACCACTATTCCTAAAAGCCTGTTATTTCTGAACACTTGTTTTTGTAACGTGACAAAAATAATTTTTATAAAAAGCTTGATACCATGATGTTAGATCATAAATTTGAGAGCTAGACCCTGACAATTTGACACAGGATCTCTCAGTCTGCTGCTACATCTAGCCATTTCATTTTCAAATTCAGTTCTAACAATTCTTGAACCAACTATGAAACATTTGGCAACACGTTCTAATTCCGGGCCCATTAACCCACATATTTTTTAGATGTCATCTGGCAAGAATCATTGCCTTTATTTCGGAAGAGATTTACCAGTCCATTCACAGCCTTTTTTCTTTCAAATTAATTTTTCTTACACATGAATAAATTCGAAAAGTTATCTTAGTATTAATCCCAACAGTTCATTTTATCAGAATCTCATATCCTATATAACTATTTTCCAAAGTTAAGATTCAAATAAAATCCATTTTCCTTATGTAGGAAAAGATCATTCTAGTTAGGAAAAAACTTCTCTCACTCCTCTTCACTAACTAGAGGCTCAAACAGCTCTGCAATGTAAATTGCCCTTCCTTCAAGTGAAGACTCAAACTACTAGATAAATACAGAAATGCCCCATATAACTTGGCCCAAAAGCCCACAGGGGTGGCTAGCTATACAGACCCAAGAAGAAGGAGCACTTCTAGGTAGAACTGCCATAATGGTTCTTGAAGTACCTGAGAAGTTAAAACACTAAACATCAACAAACATTACTTAATAGTTTCAGTGACTGTCTTCTTACCTCATACCTGGTACAAGGATAATTAAATAATGTATTTGCTTAAACATCTGTTTAAGATGTTTAAGAAAATAGTTCCCTGTGGTTCTTAAGAAGAGGTATAATGCCTTTTTCTTTTCCACATCCTCGGACCCTAGCAGACTACTCAGCAAATAAATGGCTGACATTTAGTAAATACTTACTAAACAGAACTGAAGCACTTGCTTCTAACAGTAACTGTAGTCTTGTAATGAATGGATACGTATTAGAACAAAATGGTGGAATTAATTACTGCCAGAGTGTTGGCGTTATACCTGCCAGAGATGGGTATTACCAGCCCTAAAAGAATGCCTCCAATGCTACCACAGTATTAGTGTAACAGGGACAGGTTTTTCAAAAGATACCTCCTATTGCTTCCTCTTTAGTAACAAAACTTCTAAATTTCCCAACCTCCTTTGCAGCTAGGTGCAGTCATAAGACTAAGTTCTCGCCAATGAGATGTAAATGGAAGTCGTGTATAGGACTTTCAAAAAGGTTACTTGAAGGAAGCTTAATTGGCTGGAAGTAACACCCCCAACTCTATTCCATTTTTTTGTGCCTTCCATACAACAACTTAGGACATGATGAATGGAGATTCAGCAGCTATCCCACATGCTGAGGTGACCTTGATAACGCAAAGTAAGCACTAGGATACCGAGTCATAATAACACTAGCACTGCACCACTTATCGCTACAATTTTTATGCAAGAGAAATAACTTTTATCCAAGCCAGTTTTTTTCTTTTATTGTCACTGAACCTAATAACACTATTTGATAGATAGCATTTAGAATTTCAAAATGTATGTCTGAAATGGCAACTAGGTCTGTGATTTCCAAGTTGAAGAGGATGAATCACTCTCTATTGTCCCCAAGACTTAAGACCACAAATGCATCAAATACATTATTATTAAACCTAATAATGTGGGAGAAAGGGTTTTGAAATCCAGAATCTTACTCTAATATAAATACTTTACAAAAAGGAATAAGAAGTCATTGGAAATGGTGAGGGTTTCCAAGTTACAGCAGCAATGATAAGGTCAATGGTGTTGACAGCTTTATAATTAGCAAAACAAAAACAAAAAGACCCTAATTAAATATACAGAAAGGCTAAGGCTGAAGCCACTGAATTTGGAATCCTAGATTTTAGTTCTAGGTAATTTTAGGAACACCATTTCACATATTAGGAACTCAATTCATCATTAAAAGGAGAGGCATGATTAAATTATTTCTAAGGAATTTCCAGCTCTAATTCTCTAAATTAAAAGGAAAACCGAAAATGTATTAAGTCCTAGAAAATTCCTCAAATAAAAAAGCAACTACATCTTCTCTAGATACTAAAGCAATGGTAGGGTGCCTGGGTGGCTCAGTTGGTTAAGCGACTGCCTTCGGCTCAGGTCATGATCCTGGAGTCCCGGGATCAAGTCCCATATGGGGCTACCTGCTCAGCGGGGAGTCTGCTTCTCTCTCTGACCCTCTTCCCTCTTGTGCTCTCTGTCTCTCACTGTCTCTCTCTCAAAAAAATAAATAAAATCTTTTAAAAAAATAAATAAATAAATAAATAAAGCAATGGTAGCTTCCATTTATCAGTAAAAATATGTTTTGTCTCTACTGACTACAATTCAACAGGATATTTTTGTGCCTGCTCTTCTGGCTACCTAAAACGTGCTTATCCTGAACTCAACTGTCAAACCCTTACTTGCCTCTTTTCGATCTTAGCATGTATGTCTCATCTTGAATGAGGCTGGTCCTGACCCCTAAAGCAGGTCCCACCTGCTATTTTATTGAACATACGATTTTTCGTGACTTCATAGCACTTACCACAACTTTCCATTTATATAATTACTTGTATTCTTTTATTCAATGTCTCTCCCCCTATAATGAAACCTCCAGATGGGAAGCAATAAATCCAGGTTCCCCCCTCCCTACTGTTTTATGTCCAGTCCTGGTACAATGCCTCACACACAGATGAAATTCATCTATGTATTTGTTATATGAAGGAAAAAACAAATGAATAAATGAGGCAGGCATCAAGAATTGAAGAGATCATGTGAAAAATGTTTACCTACTTACCTCATTAAACACAGGATACATGACTGCATAGAGGGGCATAGAAACCATGGAAGTGGTCTCAGCTTCATTCTTCATCTCTTCCATTGTCATCCTCATTCAAAAGCCAACTACAGTAGAAAAAGCAGTGCTAAAATGCAGAGGAATCTTCATTCACTGCAGTATTTCTTTTCTTTTTTGTGATAAAAGAACAGGGCACAAAATATATACTGACCTGGTTAAAAGGGAAGCAGAAACAGAGATTTACTCTATTAAAGGAAAACTACAAACACCAATAACTTTCTTTTCCTGTGTCTCTATCTTATGAACAGCTGATTTGTTAATGTATCTTACTTGTGAAGGTACCCCTGATCAGTAAGACATCTCTTTCCTCCTCAGACTCAGGAATTTGCCCTTTCTTACAACTAATTTTCCCTCATTAACGAAGCTGTGATTCATGAACCCACTCATCTTTAACTGAGAGAGTGCTCCCTGAAGCACCATGGAATAATGATGCATCTAATTCCATCATATATACAATCAAAAAAGTTAATACAAGAAATTATCAACAAAGTATATAATTATAGCACTTATACATAACATAAAACTATAACTGTGAAATACATAAAGCATAAATGTTAATGGAGAACTGCATTAAGAATTAAGAAAAAAGGGGCGCCTGGGTGGCTCAGTCGTTAAGTGTCTGCCTTCGGCTCAGGTCATGATCCCAGGGTCCTGAGATCCAGCCCCGCATCAGGCTCCCTGCTCGGCGGGAAGCCTGTTTCTCCCTCTCCCACTCCCCCTGCTTGTGTTTCCGCTCTCACCCTGTCTGTCAAGTAAATAAAATCTTAAAAAAAAAAAAAAATTAAGAAAAAACGTGTTTAGATTAAAATCTTTTTGCTAATAGTTCATTGATTTTGCCACCAAAAAATAACAACAAAAGCATAACCAAGCACCAAAGATTTAAGACAAATCTTAAAACTGGGAAAATTTTATCAAATGTGGTCTATTTGGGGGAAAAAATATTATTTAATTTTGCCAGTGGTATTTCTGAATCTTTGTCCAAACCTGGCACAAAACCTAAGTAGAGAGATTCACAGACACTGATAGTTTGACAAAATACTGAGAATTCAACAATATAAGAGAGAAATTTTGCCTTGAATAGTTGAGGAAGTATGTTGGTTTTTAAGAGAAAGCAACTGTATTTATTTCCTTTGCTAGGCTAAAAAATGAGCCTAATTATAAAGTGAGAGAGTAATATTAGTGACATATCTATATTTTAAACAATGTATATTAGTATACATACTTCAAAACCATCAATTTTGAATAATTTCTATCATTTATAAAGCATTTTCAGATTATAAAACATTTTTCACACACTTTTAGTCCTCACAATTACTTTACATTAACTGTCATTCTAATCTTATTTCAGGTTCTGAGATGATAAATGATTTCACCAAGAACACATATGCAGAGGCCTAAGACTTGATCCTAATACTCTCAATCCAGATCTGATAATTCCACATTAAAAAAAAAAAAAAAAACTAAGTTTGAAGTAGAGACAAAGAATCTCAGCTCATCTACCCAAGAAAATACCCAGAAGTTATTCATTCACTGAATAAATGTAGGCTTAGCACCTACTCTGTAAAAGATGCAGTGGGGGGGGGGGTGATTAAGATGTGGTCCTAATCATTAAAACTTATCTGGGCCAGACTGTGGAAGACCTAAGCAGTTTGAAAGATACAATCAAAGGTCTGAGTATGCAGAGATTCAAAAACCTCTAATAACTTGTCCCATTTGAGAACTGCTTACTATCCTTCCATAATCCCTACCAGTGAAAGGGAACTTGACACCTACAGAAACCGGCTAGTCCCATTTCTGGTAGTTCTAAATATGGAAAGTTTTTCGTTTGGGGGCTACAAGCTGCTCACTGACCTCACAGAACCAAATCAATAAATAAAAATAAGAAGGCCAGGGGGCGCCTGGGTGGCTCAGTTGGTTAAGCAACTGCCTTCGGCTCAGGTCACAATCCTGGAGTCCCGGGATCGAGTCCCATGTCGGTCGGGCTCCCTGCTCAGCAGGGAGTCTGCTTCTCCCTCTGACCCTCTTCCCTCTCGTGCTTTCTATCTCTCATTCTCTCTCTCTCAAATAAATAAATAAAATCTTTAAAAAAAAAAAAAATAAGAAGGCCAATTCCTAGGTCTTATTCTATAGGGTAACAGAAAGCCATTACCTGATCAGATCATTTATTTAAGCGGACTGCTTTGGTCATACTGTTAAGGACAGAATGGAGGAACATAAATTGATGGCAGGGGAAACTTAAGAGACCTAGTATAGTTATATAAAAGACCAACCAGACCTGAGCAAGTAGCAAGAGGAAGAAGGTAAATAATCAATTGTGACCCTGCTGTTTCTATTTAACTACTTAACTGGCCATTTGGTAATCTACTTTTCCACTTTAGAAATAAATTGTGAATACTTTTTCATATTAAACTTGGAACAAAAAGGAGGGGCTGAAATGCAGGGACAGTAGTCAAAATGAAAATGATAGATACTGGAAGCACAGTACAGACAGTAATTGAAGGCATCAGTATCAATGGAAAACAAAACAAAACAAAACAAAACAAAAAAAACCAAGCAAGAAATAGCAGAACAGGGCCAACACCAGAACTTGAAGAGCCATCTCATGGGGTAACAGAAAAAAAATCATTCGTTTATTTAACAAATATTTATCCATTACCTATACAGAATTAGGCCTAGGACTAGCTACGGAGCAGTGAACAAGACAAGACAGTCTCTGACCTCATGGAGCTTATACTATGAAAGGAAAGCCAGAAAGTGAACAAGTCAGTATCAACAAGGGAGAAGTGCAGATGCTATACTGCTATTGGAGAACTGGGTGACAGAACCAGCATCACAGAAACCAGGTGTTTCAAAGAGAAGGTGGTCCAAAGTTTTAAATGCTCCCTAGCCTGGACAGTAACTTTTAAAAAATGATTGGATTTCTTGATGCGGTCATGAATAATGCTGAAAGAGTAATGTCACTTGTATACCGGGAACAAGAACTACTGTAGGAACTGAGCTGGTGAGAGAGGTGATCTCAGTAAAAAAGAGGTGAATTCCTACAGTAGGCTCAATTGGATTATTTTTGTCTTTTACTCTTTTGAACATGTATGTATCCCTGCATATATAAAGGCAGACAAAAGTGAAGGGATCAGTAAAAGTAGCTAGAGTCACTCAGAATTTCTGCTGGCACCTACCTATCTACCCCACTAAACCTGTTCAAATACTTTTTTTACCTTTGTAAACGGTGGCATTGAAATTTTTTTTTAATTGTGTTGAATCAATAGTATTGTCCCATGTCAGGAGTTTCACTTAAGATATTTATGATCTAAATTTAAGAAAAACCAAACATATATATGTATTTCTTGCCTCTAAGACTAACTTACAGTACTGTCAGCTACTATTTGTCATCAAAAAGAAAGTATTATAGGGGCGCCTGAGTGGCTCAGTTGGTTAAGCATCTGCCTTGGGCTCAGGTCATGATCTCGGAGTCCTGGGATCAGCCCCGCATCTCTCTCTCCCTCTGCCCCTCCCCACTGCTCATTCTCTCTCTCTCTCAAATAAATAAAGTCTTTAAAAAAAAAAAAAAAAGAATTACAGCAATATTATGAGCTAAATAGGTGTCTGTCTTACATCATACTTATCTACCTTTTAATACTGTCCTATGGAAAATGTTCCAAAGAACCAAGTTACAACTGAACTTCTCAGAACACACATTCACAAACTGGGGTCACTCACAGTTTCATTAGTGTTTATATGAGATTAAAAATCAACAATTTCAATAAGGCTTTTTAAATATGCCAATTTTAGTTCAAGTTAAAATATGCTGTCATTCCTTCTACATGATTCTTTATCTGAAATGGTTCAGTGGACAACCTGCAATTACTCCAAGCAACAAAGAGCCCGTTAACCTGAAGAGCAAGGGTCAACTGAGCTGAGCAAGAGCTTGAGGCCCTGCCCCTTTGAGAAGGTTTCTTCCTTTCACCACAGGTAACATCAGGCCCAGGGCAGCTGGGCAGCACATTACCAAAGTTCCAGCTCTCTAAGGGATACTGGTTTCTGAGGCAAGTGCTGATCATGCATGAAGAGCCAACTAACGATTTGTAACTCCAAATCCCAAATCTGGAAAGGCCTTAAAAAGTGACCTCATCTACCATGTAGTACAACAGAAACCACAGTCCAAAAAATGACTTGCCATGATTATAACTGCTAAGTAATAATAAATAATAAAAATTTAATGTGGGTATAGTGGCAACACAGCAAGAGCTACTTAGTTTCCTATTTCCAATGTGTTGCACTGGGGGAAAAGTTTTCATTTCAAAGTAAGCTTTGTTTCCTGAGGAGTTAGCATCACAACATTTTTAAAAAACCAGAACTATAGATGTCAATAACTTAAGACAAAATGTATACTTTTAAGCAAATTTTTCTTCAAAAACACCCTCTGTGATATGGTAATACCTATACAAATAGAATATAAGCAATCGATTCATTTATACTTTCCCCCTTATTTCCTTCAATGTTCAAAATAGCACTAATTTCTGACACAAGATGTGTAAGTATTAAATGCCTTCCTGCGCTTAAGACCATTATTATTTGTTTAAAGTGAGGGGAAAACAAAAATAGGTTCTTGGCCATCCCACTGCCAAAGTCTTAGTCTTTGGAGTTTCTATCCTGACCTGCCCAAAGAACCAACAGGAGTCTGTTCATTCCTGGGTGGCTCAGTTGGTTAAGTATCTGCCTTCGGCTCAGGTCATGATTTCAGGGTCCTGGGATCCAGCCCCGCATTGGGCCCCCTGCTCAGCGGGGAGCCTGCTTCTCCCTCTCCCTCTGCCCGCCACTTCCCCTGCTTGTGTGTGCACGCTCTCTCTCTCTGTCAAATAAATAAAGAAAATCTAAAAAAAAATTAAAAAATAAAAAAAAGAAAGAAAGAACTATACTCAGATATATCTCAAGGGTCAGAATCAGCATTTTCTGAGAGCGCCTCATTTTAATCCATCTGGGCAGGGGATAATTCTAGAGCTAAAGTTATTTACTCACAAATATATGGACTGGACAAATGAAGTCCCTGGTACTGAAATATGCAGTTTTTGGGGAGAAAAAGAAGGCTCCTAAATAAATTCTACACTTAAAACATTTGTAGGCAGGTATATTTGTCTTGTTTTTCTTTATAGT